GGTGAAGGGGAACAGGGCCAGCGGGGAAGGGTGGGCGAGTGGTTGGGAGCGGTGTCGCTGGCAGAGTGCGAGGCCCAGTGACAGGGGGTGAGGTGAGGAACTCAAGGGAAGCAGAACTTGAAGCCTCAGAAATGAGGCTGAGAAGCTGCAGCGCTGGAGTGGAAAAGCAGGAAGGCGCTGGAGGGAGGCGGGTGTGGGGGAGTGTGAGGTGAGAAACGTACCCTTGTGGTACCAGTGTAAGCTTGAGGTGTGGTGAAGGAACAGTGCAAGAGAAGGTTGGATGGAAGCTTGTGATGGCCTAAGCAAGACTTGCGTGGACAGAATATAGATAATATTTTTTTTTAAATTTTGGTGGGGTTTTTTTGCATTTATGATGTAGACATATCATTACTTTAAATTCACTGACCTGACAGAAGAAAATAATCCTGTTTTGTGCTATGTGGTGGGTTAGATCAGGGGACCTAAAACCAGCCTTGTGAGGAGGTCTTGTCCGAGAGCAGCTCCCTGCTCCGGTTCTCCATATGGCTGTGCAAACCTTTGTGTTGGCACTATGGCAGGAATCAGAGCAGCGTGAGAGGAAGCAAGTAGGGGAGAGTGGGACTGCTGTTTTCGCCAGTAGTGTAAGTTCATACCTGCCTTGACTGTGTATTCAGTGAATTCATATTCAGCATTGAAGCTTTATATCAAAAACATCTGGAGGCCGCAACAAGTGCAGTCTGTTGCGCTAGGTGCTGCGCTTGCACAGACACTTAGAAAGGCGATACGATGGAAGAAAGAACAGGCAACTGGAATTATGTAGATGGAAGGACGAGTGATATTTCTTTTGTGACAGTAAATCTCATTGCCCAATCTATGTAGGGCTATTGCAGAGGCAGGCAGTGGAAAACTGTACGTTGCATATAAAGGAAACAAAATAAAATTGTAACTTTCTTCTTTTTTTTTTCTCTTCTTTGTGCTGCAAAAAAACAGTGGCCAAGAGCAAATCTAAGTAAGTGATGGTTTACCTCAACAACTTTTGATTTCTGCTACCACCCTGTATCTTCAGATGTCTTTACAAAATACTAGGCTTCTCTAGAATTTTTTAGTATGTCTGAGAGACTTGCAGTCCTTGAGTCTAGCTGCATCTTTTCTGTCCTTCTGCATGTGTGTCTTTTCACAGGTAAGTACAGAACAGTGTGAAAAACCTCCTAAGTTATAAAATTGCATCAAAGGTAGGTGTTGCCCTATGGGCTGTCATGTTAAGCCGAGCTGTAACATCCAAGGTGCCTTGCACAGGGAAAGCACACCTCTGCTTTGTGGTTAAAGGGAGTCTGTAAGTTATCCACGTCATCTTCCTCCTGTTTACCTTCCATGGTTTTTAGCTGAGGAGGGCAAGCTGAGGTGCAGTGTGGGTCATCATTGTTTGTGGGCTGCCCTTTGGGCAGGTGCCGTGAACCTTTCCCATCAGCAGAGTGCAGTTCTAGCATGTTTGTGTGTGAGGAATGGCAGAGTTGCAGTCAGTGCTCTTGATTTGCTCTGTAGTCCAGCTCAGGAGGGATGTTCGTGGGCTCTGAAAGAAAATTAATCACAGTCCTTTGACCTATAGAGAAGACTGATGTGTTTTAAGGGTTGAAAAGGAATATATACTGTCAGCATACCAGTAGTCTTACAGTGTGGATGCAAGGACAGAAGGTCGTGTGGAGAGAATGACTTGCATCCAAAATGCTCTTTGATTAGCTAGACAAATCCAAGGGGCTAAACTGATACATTTATGAATACACTCCTGTCTTCTGATTCTCAGAAGTTACATTCTCTGTGAGTGCATTACATTTGGTACCAGACAGCCTCGAGAATTTTGCCTTTTAGTATTTTGTCTTATTTATTTTTTTTAAGAATCAGCCCCTGACAGAGCCAGTACCAACCACTTGCTGGGTTTGAAGAGAGTCTTCTGTTGCAGGATTTCTGCACAATTGTCAGGGTTTGAAATTAAGAAAGCACTTCCCAAGTATGTGCCTGACAGGGAAGAGAGCAGTTTGACATCTCAGCATTCCACTGTTACCTGTTTGCAGAAACAGCAAAGCAGGATGTTTCTGCAAGGTGAAAAAGTAGGTTGTAAAAATGGTGTGACTAATGTTAATGCAGTAGGGTGGGGTTTTTTTCCCTCCACCCCCCCCCCCCCCCCCCCCCGCCCCCGATGGTCCTTTCTCTGTTCTTTGTATAGTCTCATATATACTTCAGGAATATGTTACCTCCTTATATTATTTATCTTTCTGTACTTCCCTTGGGTTTTCTTCCCATGTCCTGATAGCTTTCCGCTGTTCTTTGCTGCCCCTCTTCCCAGTTATGTTCCTTCATTGGGCAGCAAGTTTTCCAAGCAAGGTGTATTGTTCAGAAAGGGCTTGGCTTCAAATATGTGGTGCACAAGAATTTCAAGGCCTGGTCATACTGATACCACTGATTCCTCCCGAAAGGGGAAACTGCACAGAGGCTTTGAGGAAGTGGGTGAGGTGTAGGGGAAGGAGTCTATGTGGTTACTGGGGCTACACATCACACCTGCAGTGGTGTACAGGAAAGGACAATAATTGGGGATAATCCCTAGACTATGCTTGGTCAGTTCATCTGCAGGAATCCAGTGTTTTTCTGTTTATTTTGAACTCGACCATAAATTAGATTGCAATGCTGTAACAGGAGAGCTCAGGGAAGTACACTGGTCAGAGCTGCACAAGTGAGGAAGAATGGATGTCTCTTCAAGGTTAATTTTGACAGACCATTTGGTATTAGAAGCAGGACAATTGAGGAAAATGAATTGCATGCCCACATGCAGAGATGTATCCATCTCTTTATTGCAATGGCAGAGAAAGATGCATTTTATGGACTGGTTAAAGGGTTTTGACCTTTCTTTTGAAACTTCAGAAGAGCTCTGTGTCTGGGAAGTTGTGCAGCTCTTTGAATACTTCCAGGGTAGGGGCATGGTGACAGCTTTCCCAGTCTCCTGACTTGCCCTGCTGCTAGGGACACTGTAGCTGCTGCCAGTCTGCCCTACAAACCCAGAGCCCTCCAGTGGGGAAGGGAGTTCCCGTGGCTGGGGTAACATCAAGCTCTGTATTTCTTGTGGGATGGATGGTGCCAAGGGGCCCTGCTTCTCCTTTTGCATGCTTCTTGTTCCATGCTACCTGCTTGGGTTCCTCTCTGCATGTGGAAGTGATGGTCTGCAATACAGTGTTATCTACAGCCCAAATATCTTTCACTACCATCATCCTTCCTCTCTTGCTATTATCTTTTAAGCCATAGTGATTCAATTGTATGTTGAGTTGGTTGTAGGTTCTTCTCTCTCTCTCTCTCTCTCACACACACACACACACACTCACTCACTCACTCACTCTCTTTCTCTCTCTCTCTCTCTCTTTCTTTCCTCCCCTCCCCTCCCCCCTTCTCTCTGGGCTTGTGTTCTGTTTAGGAGTTACTTAGTTAAACTTGATGCTGGAATTTATGGTTTATAGTGTGCTCCTTCTCTGTTTAGTAAGTTTAGCACATTGTACGGAAGCTCCTATTCAGAACATCCATGAAGTTGAAATGAAGTCTCTTACATGAGAGTGATTGTGTCAAACTCTTTATGCTAAAAGCTTCTTGTCCCTTTGACAGTGCCCACGTGCACTGACACAGAGACATTCCTTGTGACTTCAGATACGTTCTGGTGAGGATGAAAAGTGCGGCCGAGACGGGCTACTGTTTCAACATCAGGAGGCTCCGACTGCAGGAAAAACTGGTCCTGCTGAGATATGATCCCATCGGTAAGAGCCTGGGGAAGAAGTCGGCCTGCTTTGTATAAGCTTCTCTGATTCTGTGGGGTAAAAGATTTGAATGTAACAGGATTTTTCCCATCTAAGCAGACTGTCATAACATGTTACATACTCGGATGACTGTACAGTTGCCGTTCTTCATGACATTCCAGTGGGAAGTAAACATTACCCTCATTTTACAGTTTGCGGCACTGAAACAAAGCAGTGACTTGCCCTACACATCAGAGTCTTTGATGACAGCCACGCCACATGTCAGTGGCAAAGCAAAGTGACACAGGAGTTCTTTCATTCTGTTCTTTGTGTGGTTTGCTAGACTGAGCTACCTCCAACAAGCAGCCACGAAGTATGCATCAATAGAAATGCCCTGTCTGGGTGCTTCAGACAGTAAACTTTAACCATCACTTACAAAATGGACTTTTAAAGAAATAAACACAAGTTCTTTCTCCTTCACAAATGATACCACTGTCCAGATGACAGTTTGTGGGTTCTTTTATGTTCCTCTGGTCCTTGCAAATTTTCTGTTTAAGTATCTGATTTGTTGGGGGTTAGAGCACTTGCCAAGATGCCTTTTGCTCACCAGGCTTTTTGGAAGGTGACTGAGAGCTCAAGTTTTTTTTGGAGGAACCAGTCTGTAGTTAACATTAAAAAGCTTAATTTGGGGAAATTTAGAATGTAAACCAGACAATGCTAGAAATAGCATGCAGGAGTTAATGCAAAAAAGGCTTATTTAATCTATAGATTAATAAAGGAATGTATTGAGCAGCTCTAAGTAGGTAGTATAATGTATGGCCAGTAATTACATGGTTCAAGCTTATTTTTTCTTGTAATTTTATGTTCCTGTTAGATGCCTGACCTTATAGGAGCTATATGGCAGGTGAGAAAAACTACCTGAGAAACAGTATGTGCTCATCATAGGCTGACAGAGGTTGTGGCTTTCCTGAATTCCACGCAGAAGGGGAATTGGAGATTGTGGAGATTATTTTCTTCAATAGGAAAATTTTAAATGACTGCATCGAAACATTGTGCAAAGTGATTCTCCAGAAGCCTCACAACTTGTAGGAAATGTGAAAAGAGTGGAGAGCTCAGGCTATGTAGCGCTTCTGTTGCAGAACATGTAGGTTGTTGAAGTACAAAATTGGAAATAATTAAGAAAAAAAAGCTCTGATCTTTGTAGCCTGTAGTAGAACACAAGTGAGAAACTGATGTAAGTACTGCATGTGTGACGGGAAGTAAATTTGAGTCTAGATACCAGCTCACATCAGGTACATGTTAGGAAGCATTTTCACTTGGCATGCATTTTCACCTTATGTTTTTTACTTTTCAAAAACCTGGGATCTCCACAGAACGAAGCTTTTTAGTGAAGTAGTGGCAGTAGTGCCCAAGTTTCACTACCTCCTAACTGCAGCAACCGAATGTGTTACTAAGTTGCAGTATTTCTTAAAGCGAAACTTTTATGTGGAAGAAGTGATTTTGTTGCTGTGTGGATTGCTCTTGCGTAGCTTTCAAAGGAATTCCTATCATGAAGTTAAATCGGAACAGCAGTGCTTTTCAAATGGCATCATAAAGCTTTGGTTTAATTTTTTTTGTTTTTCAGTAATGCACTGACTTTGCTTAACCTGTAGTTGAACTGACTTTGCTAGCATCTGCATCAGGTGTCAGAGGCAGTGTAGGTTTGTGCCTCACTGAGAGCACCACAGGACACTCAGTCAACTTTTCAGTCAGTCTGTGAGCCCAACTGGATCCAGCTCATCATCTGCACTTGTTTGGGCTCTGAAGTTGAAGAGTGGTAGAAAGCAGTAAGAACTTATTTTTGTCCCTACATCAAGCAGCTGTGACTCACAGAGCAGCTCTTGAATGTTTTCAGCCACTTAAATCCTGATACTTATTTTCACAGAGGTAAAATGGACCTCTTAGGAACTAAAATTAACATGTGGTAAAGTGAAAGCACTACCAGACTCCTTCAGAAGTTGGTTAACAGCCGCACTGCACCAGTTAGTTGCTCCACGCTCATTTAAGCAGCAAAGGCAGCCAGGAGAAAGGGATGCAGGCTCGTTGAATTGCGTCTGAACACTTCAGGCTTCTTAACAGATTCTTTTTTCCCTATAGCAAAACAACGTGTCCTCTTCACTGAGAAGAGAAAAATCCGCTCTATCTGAACAATGACTGGACTTGATTTATGCACGAGGAGAGGACGCTTTGAGGGGGGACGGGGTGAATGCTGATTCAGAAATCCAGCAACGTGGGCTAAAAGGAGAGGAAATGAACTGGGATCACCGTCTCCTGTGATTTGAAGGCCATTGTGAATAAAACAATGTAGAGAGAGAAAATTCTTAATGTCTGGGCATAGATCATCACAGTAACATTTATTTATCTTTTGAGTTATTTTTACAGTACTCAATTAAAAAAAATTAAATAGCAAATCCCATTGTCTCTGTTTTCCATTGTGAAAGAGGCTGTAATCTTCAAAGAAACTATTGTTTTATAAGGCAATAAAAATTAACATTTTCCACAGCAGAAAAAATGGCAGGATTGCAAGTTTTTCTAACCTACCAGCCACAGATTCAACAGCAGTGACCATGAATTGGTGTCATTCCTTGGAGGGGTAGTGTTGTGCCAGCTCCTTCCTAGGAAAGGAAGAAGCAGTGGGAACCTGGTGAAATCTCTTTGATAAGCTGTGACTATGCATAAACAGGCTATATTATTTTCAGTCTGGTCAGCAGGACTAATTTTTCACTCCTGATTTTTGTCAAGTGTGAAGAAAGTAGATAGCCAAAGTTGTTCTCTGATGTTTTGGGAAGTTTTTTGTTAGCTCACCTATGGTTAGAGCAATATGGCTAGAAACATTTTTCAGTCTACCTCAGTAGCACTCTTGTCCTCTTTCCAGTCTGAGGGATCTTCCACAGTGGCACAGCCCACACCTAAGGCACATGAGAACGGATGGGCCAGGGCTGGGTGTACAGTGCTTTGTTAGGGAGCCAAACGCTGGCCTCAGTGTCTGCAGCCAAGGACCGAAGTTGCAGTTTCAAAGCTAACACTACGTCACGTGTTGGCATTGCACATCAGAAGTTCTGATAAAATCAAGTAAAATTATTACATGGAGCCCAATACCCTCCACACATTTTGCTGTAAACTTTGTGTGGTTCAGCATTGTGTGGGACAGCCACGAGCCCAGTGGTTATGTGGGGCCAGAGAGACCTGCTGTGCTGTGTTTGAAAGACCTGCCACCCCCACCCCATCTCACTGCTTCCTGGTCTTTCCAGTCAGCAGAGGAGAACCTTGGTACAGTCAAAAAAATAATGCTGTCTGGGACAAGATAAAATCAGCACTTTGAGCGAGACAATGTCAATTAGAAAAGGTCCTGAGGCAAGTCCTTCCTGTAAGGATATGACGATTGTGTCCCTGATGCCTGCACGCTCACTGATGCGATGAAGTTAGACTTCCTGATCATTTCCTCCATGGGTAGCTTGGGATAGTAAGCCAGGTAGAAGGCCAGTGCTCCAACAAAACTGTCTCCAGCTCCCTAGAATAAAATAACAAACAACTTTAAGCATACTCGCACAGGGAAACAATTCAGATGTGTTTACTGAAAAGACAAAAGTTGCAGCACTGACTGCAGGGGTCAGGAAATTGTTCAAGGGTTGAGTTAATTCACTTTTCTATGCCTAGGAAATTCTGCCATGTTAAACTAATGCCACAATACTATCTTTGTGCCCAGCAGTTGAATCAAGGTACACACTATAATATGACCTAAACTTAAAGAAAAAGACAGGCAAGTGTGCTACAGTTCAGCAACGTGCTGTCATAAACACTGCTTTTGAAACTTCCTGTTGTTGGAGTGTCCGATTTTGATTTCTCAACCTGAATATTTCATTAAAGCTATTTTTCTCTCATTTAACTTCTGTTTTTCATAAAGGGCAGTGGTAGAAGGGACAGAGAAAAGGGGAAAAAAATAGGCCATGTGGCTTGTGGTGTCAGTAAATTCCTAGTTGCAGAATGATACATTTTGATGCCTCCAGAACTTAGCTGTTGTTCATTAAGAAGGCCCCACTAACAAAGGTCTATGCTGTGTCTATCACATAAACTACTCATTCTTGGGGCACGGTTTGCCGCCTACACTGAGTTTAACCGTGAGGGTGGAGGACATTGACATTCACCTGGAGCTCTGGCAGCTGTGGCCCTCTTGAGCTACCTGTCCCCAGGCCGTGTCTCCCACCAGAGCTGCCTGATGCCCTGCCTGCCCCAAACAAGCCCTCAACAAATGGGGAGTATGCTTTCTTCTTCTCAGAGTAACCCTTCCCCCTCTTCTTGTTGGTACCATAAAACTGGCTCTAAGGTCCCCCTTTTTTAATCCTACTTTTATACCAGTAAAAGCGTTACACTGGACACACTGGTAATATCTTCTTTCCTTCAAGAACCAGCACATGGACTATCTCCCCTGAGGGGGTTTGCCTCTGTAGTTGTAATAAATAGGTCCCAGGAGTCATGGGACAAGAGCAAAGGCCTGGAAAAAGTTAGCTAAGAAAGCTAAGCACAATTTCTAATTGGAAGTTAAGGCTAGGAAGTAATTTTCAATTTTGAGTTCTAGGCGTTCTCAGTGTTAAACTCCTCCTTACCCTAAAATCAGCTGTAGTTATATGCATTTATCATTCTGGCCAAAAAATACCATTTCCACAAAACTCTGTTGGTAACATTGCAAGCAGCTGACAGAGCAGAGCAGCGCGGAAACTGCAAGGGAACCCGAAGGGGGGTAAGCGCAGGATCATCGTGCCTACAGCATGCCTTGTCTCTCCACACCTTGTCTCTTCTTGCCCAGAAGCTGTTTGCATTGGTGTTCCCACTCAGGAGACGATGCCCTGCTTAACTCTCCCTTAGCCTGCAGTTTGGATGCTGTCTTCTATTGCCTTCACAGCAGGGCACAACACAGAGCATCACCTGGCAAACTGCGTGTTAATAAGTGAAGCTGTACCCCGGCATGCAGCTGTAGCTGCACCTGTTTCAACAGTTCTGTATTCCTGAATGTACCAGGGGCAGGTGAAGGTTTTTATCAATTTCTGTTGGGCTTTTGTCTCTCTTCTGGTTTCCAGAGTGCTGCCACAATGGCAGGTGGAGCAGGAGCAGGTGACTGCTAGTTAAGCATTGCCAGTGCCTTTTGTCTGATGTGTAATACAGAAATTGCTGGCCCATCTCAGAGTTTATAATCTAATCGGTGCATGATTAATTATTAAAGCTATTTTGGCACTGCTGTTACAGACAGAAGTAGAATTTCAGCAAGCAGCTCTGTTATGCTGTAGCTCTAGCAGGAAGAACTCACCATTTTTACATCAAATATTTCTCATACTGTGATCACTCGGTAATGGAAGTGGCCAAATATTATTTTAATGAAGAATTCTCAGAGTACTGGGTGTCATAAACTTTTACCCGGCAGCAGAATAGAGCCGCATACTGTCTTTGATCTTTTTTTTTTAAATGTAGATAACTAAATACTGCCCCAAATAATTGCTGCAGTGTTTGCTAGTGGAGCAAAACAAGACCAACCGCACAGCACCCAGGTCTTAGGGTGCATGACGGCGAGATGGAACCTAAGTTCTCCCTTCAATGTTGCTGCACTGCTTCACTTTTGGGTGATGCTCTGAGTTTGTGAGACGGCTGTAGATCTCCCTTTTGGCGAGGCTGAACTACGTTAAATGACTGCAAAGGTGGAAAAAGGGGTGAACAGAAGAATTCCATGCAGAATGGAAAAAGGCGGCCTAGTATTTTTTTATAAGAGAAAAGATTATGGGATAATTGGAGAATATACAGAAGGATTGGATGCCAGTGAACTTTTGCTGGAATTCTTCCTTCCCACAGATAGACTGGAGCAGTCAGTGTCGCTAAAGCTCAGCCACTACAGACCCCAGGGGTATGATAAATTCTGCTGTTGGTAAGTAAACATTTTGCGTGGGGGGTGTTTTCAATATAGGAGCTACTACGCTGAACACAGCGGCATGTATCAGATCGATTATGTAGATACCCTGTGCAGTCTTGCTCCTGGTCTGTGCAGACACAACTGGTCGAACGTGACTTCAAGAGCAACAGCAGAACTGATTCAGCTGCAAGGTTAGCTGCAATAGGAACTGTTTTCAGCCCACAGAAACAGACCTTCCCTCTTTGGTATTGTGGATTGAGCTACACTGGGTTTGGTAGATTCAGAAAAGGTCAGCACAGAGCAGAAAAAGGAACAGGGTCAGAGCAAAATCAAGATTATCCAAACTCTGAATTAGCAAATATTAGCTTTACATTTAGCTGTTTCAAAACTTGCTAGAAGAAAAAAACAAATCTACTTTGCAAAAATAATGAATGTTAGAAATGACCAGTAAGGCACATTTATTTTGCCCATTGACCAAATATAAATACAGAATATGTAGTATTTTACATTCTTCAGTATTTGTCTTCCAGGAATCCTAATACATTGCAGACTTTGAGATAATCCTCATATCCTTGAGTGCCTGGAGACAATTCATTCCACAATTATAAAAATGTAACTTGTTTAACCTTTCTCTAGAGCAGGAGATGCTAGTTTGTAGGAAATAAAATAAAGACTTGGATCAAAAAATTTGGCTGATATGGCATGGCTAGTTCTAAAATGCAAATGTTAGGGTTTTTACTAAGTTCTATGGTTTTGAAGCAGTTTTTAAAACCTATTTATATTCTGTGTCACTGGTCTGGAAAGTCCTTGTTTTCCTGTATGTCTGGAAAAGGGCATTTTTGTTTGTTAGAGTCCAGCACGGACTGAGATTCTGTGCCTCCAGAGAAGAGAAAACCCACAAAAACACTTCTATTTATACCTTAGCTTTTGTTAGTCCTGATTTGTCAGAAGCTGGTTCACAACTTTAGTATAACTATTTTTACACAATGCTGCTCTGTAAGTGCTTTTTTAAGGAAAGTGCTTTGTAAGTGGAAACGATATTGTTCAACAGTCTTTCCAGCAAGTAAAGCATTTTTCAATCAATCCTGTAGAATAATAGGATGCATTTCACTTACACAATAAGATCACTTGGTCACCAAAAAACTTGGGAGGCCACGAGGCCAAAAGCTACACTTGACAGCATTTCAGCAGTTGCACTGCCTTGTTTCAGGGCAACCTCTTGCTCAGTCTTCACCCTCCCAGCCTGTCCTCAGGGGGGAGAGTAATGGCAACCACGTAAGAACTGGGGGGGGGATCTGGCTCCCGAAGCCTGACATTTTTACTGAACCTCAGGTGACTTTCCTCAGGTGATTTTTCAAGAAGTCACAGTCCATGTGTGCTCTGTGTATTACACGGATTCATTCCATTAAATAAATTGTAAGAGCATGTTACCAAGTCCTAAAAGGAACAATGTTTTGTATTGCAGTACACGAGAAGCATTAGGCATGCCTGTAATGATAAATTCTTCGCTTAGTG